TTTTAGAAATAACGTATAAAAACAGAAAAATTATCAAATTTTTGATCGAGTTCCTAACCAGGACACAAACAAAAGTGGCGAAATGTCATTTTCACATTTTTTTTCTATATAGTTATTTGTTACAGAGTACACAGATAAAATTCACTCTCATAGATGACAAATTTCAAACACCACAATCTCTAATTTTTTACTCTGCTATCTTCAGCGCTGTACACGAACGGAACGATGTCGTTGAGAGCCGTGGTTGCTCACATGGTTAGCGCTCGTTATAGGTATCACAGTACGGGAGCAACCCGGGTTCCATCCCCACTGGCACCAATGAAATTGTTGCGTGCTGATTTGGCTATCAGTTGGAAAGTCTGTTTTTCTGGGCCGTTTTGTTTTGTTACACTGACATCTCGCAAGTCACCTAGGGACCTAGGAAGGTTGTCGGTTGCTTATTTTTTATTTTTCTTTAAAATTTTCGTCGGTAAAATAACATATTTATAAAAAAGTAAAGTTACAGCCTATATACGTCCCACTGCTGGGCACAGGCCTCCTCTAATTTCTGAGAGGGTTTTAAGGCAAGGAAATGTCCGCCACGCTGCCTCAATGCGTGTTGACGAACTTCACATGTCTTCGAAATATATATTTTTTAATTTCTCAGACATGCAGACCCGAGTTCGATCCCCGCCGGCACCAATGAAATTGTTAATTGCAATTGTGCTGATTTACCACGTGCTCGGCGGTGAAGGAAAACGTATTGAGGAAACCTGCACGTCTGAGAACATAATTATAATCGAATGTAAATCAAATTGACATAGGTAAGTACAGATAAAATTAGCGGAACATTAATAAAATTTTGAGATCGTTTTTTTTTTCAAAATTTTATTTATATTCCGCTATTTTTGTCTGTGCTTATATCAATTTGATTTACATTCGATCTCTAAATTGTAGTTTGCGAGGGTAACGGGGATCTATCAGCTCCGGCAAAACACATTTCTGATAAAAGCTATCTAATTTTAAAATTTTGTCTGCCGTCCAAAACGCATCATCTCTTTCACTAATATTAATTTCTATGCCAAACAGAGTAGTGTCGAAATCCAAAGTTCAAGCAGGGGTCAATGTAGCGTAGTAATTTAGAGCGCAGGTATAGCTATAGTCATACGAACGTCACAGGCCGCAGCTGACTGAGTCGAATAAAACTAGAATAAGCGCGCGTCACCGCGCATGCATGTGTGTGTAAGTGTCGTTCTCCCGCACCGCACCGGGGGAAACATTATTCAGTGAGATGTACGATAATTCATATAAACACGCGCGCGTAAAAAAATACGAAAAGACCTTTGGAAGAAGGGGTTTTATGAAAAAACCACTGCTTAAATCAATTACAAATAAAATTTATTGAATTCTTCGATAATTGAGCTGTGTCGGTACCGACTTTGTCTTGGAAATTTTACACTGCTTTTATTACTAATTTACGCCCAAAGTTGTGTTAAAATTGGCTATAAATCCGAACTTCAGCCGAACTTCGGTTCATTTTCGCACGCTTTCTCGAGAGCGACGCGTCGTGACTTGTTTACGCATTTACTTCAAATACCCCGCCCGCACACCGCAGGAAACATATACCTACGAAAAAAAACGTAACAAACTTCTGCCAGATAAGGCAGATCTTTGGTGTTTTTGCACCATAACCTGACTCTGGTAAATAAATATGACTAGATAGACAAGAAAAGTTGGTTTAATATGGTTGTTGAAAACAAATACCCTTTAATTGTAATAAAAAATACTTGAGGTTAATGAATGTTGAATCGAAAACATTATTTTTTTATTTAATTTACGGACTCCTATCCAGATGTTTACTAGGAGAATACAAAGTTTATTTAATTTTTGTGGTTTTTGGCTACTTTTTCTTATATTTACGCGAACACTATACATTGATTAAAACTACTTTTACGGATTTTATCGCGTTTTATTTATATTAATTTTAATACCCGACGTTTCGGGTGCTTTCCAGCACCCATGGTCACGGGGGACTGAGGTGACTGACGTCCCGATGTCAAAGTTAACCCGGAGTACCTTCAGCTTTTTAATTATTGTCTTTGCTCCGATCTACGCAGAATGAACTAACTGTATTTTGAAGTCTTGCAGTGGTATGCTTGGGTTTAGTTTTAATTTTATTAATTATAGGATCCCAAGCAGGTGGTAGTACCCAGCCTCCTTCTCTATTGAAATTAGGATGTTTTTTAATTTCAATAGCCTCACATATCATCCTTGGTAGGAATCGATGTTCTTTCGCGAGGATTTGTGGTCTATCAAATCTGATGTAATGGTTGGGGCCATCTAGAATATGATCGTAAACTGCAGACTTCCCGGAACGTTGATGCTTCACGTCAGCTATGTGTTCTTTTACGCGGGTTCTAATTGATCTCTTTGTTTGCCCTATATATGAGAGACCACAATCACAATCAAGCTTGTACACTCCTGCATCTTGTAGAGGAAAGCAAAAAAAAGCACTTGACGGATGGTAAGAACTGACCAATCTTCTTCGGCGGCTTGTAGAATGTTCTAATAGAAGCTCGCTTCAAGATGTAGCCAATCTTTTCTGTGACACCTCTGACATATGGTAGTATAGCAGGCACACGCTCGACTGTGGCCGGCTTCACTCGGTCATTGTGACGGAGGCGCGGGACCCGAAGCTTGTTGTCGTGCAGAACCTGCTTGACGTGCTGAAGCTCGGCGGCCAGGTGTTTGCTGTCACAGATCCATCGTGCTCTCTGAAACAAAGATTTGCCCACGGTAGCTAACTGTGAAGGATGATGGTGAGATTCACCATTTAAGTATCGGTTTGTATGGGTCTTTTTTCTATACACAGTGGTTTTCGTCTTTGGATTATTTGCTCTAAATATGGTTTCTAGTAGCTTAGATGGGGTTTTGTTCATGAATATATCGGCGACAATGGGAGATACAGGTGAGCATAGAGACATATGGTAGTACATACATAGAGTATGTACTACCATATGTCAGAGGTGTCACAGACAAGATTGGCTATATCTTGAAGCGAGCTTCTATTAGAACATTCTACAAGCCGCCGAAGAAGATTAGTCAGTTCCTACCATCCGTCTAGTGTTATATTCCTCTACAAGATGCAGGAGTGTACAAGCTTGATTGTGAATGTGGTCTCTCTTATATAGGACAAACCAAAAGATCAATTAGGACCCGCGTAAAAGAACATGTAGCTGATGTGAAGCATCAACGTTCCGGGAAGTCTGCAGTTTGTGATCATATCCTAGACGGCCCCAACCATTACATCAGATTTGATAGACCACAAATCCTCGCGAAAGAACACCGATTCCTACCTAGGATGATACGTGAGGCTATTGAAATTAAAAAACATCCTAATTTTAATAGAGAAGGAGGCTGGGTACTACCACCTGCGTGGGATCCTATAATCAATAAAATTAAAATTAAACCCAAGCATACCACTGCAAGACCTCAGGACATAGTCAGTTCATTTTGCATAGATCGGACCATAAATAATATTTAAAAAAGTTGAAGGTACTCCGGGTTTAACAATGACATCGGGACGTCAGTCATCTCAGTCCCCCGTGACCATGGGTGCTGGAAAGCACCCGAAATGTCGGGAATTAAAAATAAAAGTAAATAAAAAGTAAAAATAAACGCGATAAAATCCGTAAAAGTAGTTTTAATCATGTATAGTGTTCGCGTAAATATAAGAAATCATTATGTAAACGACACTTTGCTAAACAACTTTGACAGTTCGCAGCGATCTAAGTTTACAAGTTGGTTTAAGTGAGAAAAAAGTGTTTTGTGAGCTTAAGATTGGTGAATCTTGTTCAGTTCAGTTCCTAGAACAATTAAAAATTTTATCTAAATATGTTTAAAAGTCATAAAGATTATTGTATATCCTAAAACTTCGTTATCGTCCTTTCTCACTCGAGGCCACGCTAATCATTAGTCTATAGGTTTCTCTGTCTTCGTGAAAACGAGACTTTCAATAAGTATTTTTATAGGTAATCTGTGTTGAATAAAAAGTTTCTGTTTCTGTTTATTCTGTGGCTGTACATTGTGGTATATTCACTTATTAGTCTGTGACAGAGTTTCGGCGGGAACTTGGCCGTCGACGGATTGTCGTTCCTGTTTTGACGCTTGAATAATGACTTGAAGTGGATTTTGATTCGTAAAAGTGATGCGATTTTGTGAATTAAGTGTCTGCGCGTGTGATCTATTAGAGAAAACGACGAAACAAGTGCTTTGATGTTGATATAAACCTCAAGTTGTTTTGATCGCTTGGGCGCCTTATGAACTTGAGTGGCCGTCGTCATCAACTGTCCGCTGGGTTGAGCTGTCGTCGAAATCTCCCAAAAACTTCGCAATGTGACGCATCAGCATATTGTAAAGAAAAAATATATAAAAACGAAGATTACGAAAGAAATGATGGGCTCAGAAGGGCTAGAACTCAGAGCCGTAAAGCCAGTTAAATAAAAAAAGTCTTTGACATAAAATGTGCGGGGGCGGGGGCAACTGACAATAACTGTTTAGGTAAACTTTCTGACGAGTGAATCGTAAATCGTATTTCAAAATAGTCAAAGCCGTGTAAAATAACAATCCGTCGCGATATGAACGAAGATAATATAATTAAATTAATGATGGTATTAAGTGGTTCAACTGGATAAAAATAAGTGATTGTTTATATTTCCTATTTAACAGGAAAAAGCGCAACAGGTTTAAAACCGTACATCGTTGTTTTCTATTTGTTCAATACATGTTTTGGGATATTTGAAAGTAAACGGCGCACAGTGGACAGTAGGATAGTGGTTTCTTTTCTATATAGGTTTCTGGGATATAAAACAAGTGAGTTTAGTGTACCCAGAGTGTATATGGTAGCTATCTAAGGATACTTTGTTAATAAGAACTGTGACAGAAGTTTCATGATTTGTTTAATATGTACTAATATATGAAGTGTCATTTAAGTGCTTAAACATGCTCGTTGCTTCAAAATAATGATAACGTCCAGAAACAGAGTGCAAGCGATTAAAAGTAAATTCGAGAATTTGAACATCGAAAACGGACCTGTTGTAAGAAAGAAACCTGGCGCGAAACAGCTGTGTATACAAAACGAGTCGGAAACTGATATAAGTTATAAAGGAAAAATAACAGATCGCGATGAAATACCACTTAAAGAAAAAAGTAATAACATTGATTCGGACTCTAGCGAAGATATATCGCTTAAACCTAACCACAGCTATTTGTACAGTGAAGTGAAACGTGCTAATGGTGATGTTAAGAAAATTGTTACAAGGCAAACTAGTGACCCTGGTAAGAAGCTTCATAGGAGTCACGCTTTCCGTTGTGATAGGAGTCAGAAAATCAATGATAGCCCTAAAAGACACGGAAGTTGCAATGGTAGGTCTGAAACAAGTGATTTTACATTAAAGATGGGTGAAAAGAAGCTCAGTAAGGAGAGGTTGAAGCGGCTAGGTAATTTGTTGGAGGATCAAATGAGGAAAGAGAATTTTAAAGTAAATAATAGTAGTGAAGTCCCAGTAGGAGAAATCCATGTTGTTAGTACTCCTTGTGATTCAATTCCAGATTCTCAAGTTCCAAAACATATTTTGGATCAGTATGCCAAAGTTGTGAAGAAGAAAGATACTGATAGTAAGCAAGATGCGATGACGGATAGTGGTGTTAGTTCTGAAACAGAAAATTTGGAGGAGGAAAAGTGCAGTAAAATAAAAAAACTTGTTTCTCAGTATGAAAAGCCAATCATAACACAAGATGTGCATGAAGTTAAACCTAATTCAGAAAACACAGCTTTGGACCATACAGATGATAAAACTAACTTAGATTCTATGAATGATCTGTGTGCTTCCAGTGAGACTATGAAACTTGAACGGAAGAATCCACACTTAGTATTAACAGATACACTTAAGAAAGCACTTAAGCAGCCCTTACCACCTGGTCCTCCACCCAAAAAACCCCCGAGGATATTTGCCACTCCTATAAAAGAAACCAATTTAGTTCCTACACCTGAATCTCCTGAAAAAGAAAGAAAAGACACAAAAAAAATGATAGAAAAACTTGAAAAGGTCTTACAAAAGAGAGAAGCTCAAAACCAACCCCCGATTAAACACATTTATGATGTAGCGGAGACAGATTTAAGTAAGAAGAAGCCAAAAGAGATACATTATTTGTGTACCGAGGTTTTAGATATAGCACAAAGGACATTACTTCCAAATCAAAATGTGTTGGATCCCTTAGCAAACTGTTTTACTTCTTTAAATTGTGCCATAGTAACTAACAATTCTACATTAAGTTTACCATATACAAGACTGAGTACAGGATCTAATTTCAATCATGACTCTACAAAAGATTCTTCATGCAGTAAGAACTGCTCAGATTGCAGACCTCGTTTGAGCACATTCTTTGATGAGAAGCCTCAAAGTCTCTGCACCAAGTGTCAGTCCAATGAAGGCTTCAAATGTTACTTAAGTTGTAAGTGTAAAGCAGATAACGAAATAAGAGAAAACCAAGATAAATTTAAAAGCTACCTTACAAATAAACATAAAATAGATAGGTTGGATTTTGCAGTGGACGAGGAACCTATTTATGATGAACCATTTATAGATGTCAGTGCAAAAAATTCAAATTTAAAACCAAAAACGAATGAGTATGGTACTCTGAGCAGTTGGAGGTATAAGGAAAATTGTAGCAAAAGTTTGGAAGACCTAAGGATCGAAAGGACAGAGGTGAGTTTATTGTTTTGTAATAATCTTATTTTATTTTTTTAGATTACCAGATTTACTATTGTTACACCAATAAAAGTCCTAATTGCTACAGCTTAGTTATCAAGGATATAATGTACAATCACTTAAAGGTAATCATCACTTACACATTAAAACATTAACTAATAACCTGGGGACCTTCAAGAAAAGAGCTTACTCCTTTCAAAGGGCCAAAAACACACCTGCAATTCCCCTGGTGTTGCAGATGTTTATGAGCAGCGGTGGTCACTTAACATCAGGCGAAACATATGCTCGTTTGCCCCCACTTCCATAAAAAAATAATGCTATAAAACTAAAAGCTACAAATCTAAAATTCGTTTTTTCTTTTAAATTTAGTGGTTGTATGTCCGCCTATAAATTTAAAAGAAAAGACCAATTATTCTATGATAATTATTATAATTATGTTTGTTTATGCTTTTCTTGTCTAGGCTTTTTTTGTCTAGGCTTTCAGAAAGACCCTGTATTTTATATACCATGTCCAAATTATGTTCTATAATTTCATGTATCATTAAGCCTGTTTGTTAATGTACCAACAGATATTATATCTAGGAAGTGATAACTTTATATTGTAATGGGTGATTAGAATTATTGACTAACAATTGTCAGTTTCTGTATATTGGTGTGATAGCACAGATTCGTGTTACAACAAACTGGGTCATTCAGGTTGAGCATTCAAATGTCAAATCATTTCTAGTTTTAGTACTCTGTAATCTGTGAGACCCGCCAGATAATGAAGGTAGTCAGACATTACTGTACTCTGCTCGTAGGTCCTGTAATTCGTTCGATTCGCAACATCCAAAAAATTTAATTGCAATCATCAATACTTTGATGCAACTAAACAACAACATAATAGCTATTCAGCTTTTTTATGACATATAATAAATTAAAACTATTTCTAATATATTTTTGAAGAATACAAGTACTGTTATTAAAAGCTATTTATGCAATATAATTTCTTTTCTGTCTAGAAGTCCATTTAGGTAGGAACCACCCTCTTACTTATATCAGCTGTCAAATTGCAATGCTTGCACAGCCTTGTTCATCTGAAGGGTATAGAGACTAGGATTCCAGACTGTGAGACATTCCACCTTACTCCTGAGAGGTGACAGTGCATCTTTACTTTTCTTTGTTTAAAGTTGGTGATTGGGATCTATTGACTGCAATAACCACCAGGTGGACTGTAGTTTTGTTTGTAAAGTTGTTTTATTAAAAAAATACTAATAATCTTACAAATTTTTTCGTTGATCACTCCTCTTAAGCTTAGTTGAAGGGTGTAAAAAAGGGTGGTGTTTATCATTTCATCTAGTCTCATCTCAAATGAAATGATGAGCATACCGTTACAGCCTTATTAAAGTCCACTGTTACACATATACCTGTTACCTGTACCTGTACCATATGTTGAACATAAAACCTCCCTCACAGATTGCCTGGAAGAGGGTATTTGTCATGGTCGCCAAGTGGGTTGGCAACTGCAGTTTTTATTTTTAGTCCTTATTAGAAATACACTGCTACACCTCTCCTGATTTGTTTCCCCCTGTTGCCTCTTATGACAGCACCACCTACGGGGTGATATGTAATTATGTATATCACCGTGTAGGAATATAGTGGATATTCTTACACGGTGATGTGCATGTGTTACCACATTACCATTTTCTAGCATATAATTTAGATGCATAGGTAAAGTTAAAGTAAAGTTACAGCCTATATACGTCCCACTGCTGGGCTCAGGCCTCCCCTCATTTCTGAGAGGGTTTAGGGCAAGGAAGTGTCCGCCGCGCTGCCCAAATGCGTGTTGACGAACTTCACATGTCTTCGAAATATTTTTTTTTTCTTACTCCTCAGACATGCAGGTTTCCTCACGATGTTTTCCTTCACCGCCGAGCACGTGGTAAATCAGCACTTAAAATTGCAATTAACAATTTCATTGGTGCCGGCGAGGATCGAACCCGGGTTACTCGCGTTCTGTTATATTTACAGCGAGCGTTAACCACTGAGCTACCACGGCTCTGATGCATAGATACGGTGTTAAAATATATTTCTGATTATTGAAGCCACATTCATGTACCATAAATGAGCCACTGTAGTATTTAAATTATTCATATCATTCTTGCATTGTTGAATTTATAATATCTTTATGTGTTATATAATCATTGGTGCTTCTGTTAGTGATCTTCTGTTAGTGAACTTCTCAACAACTTGACCACTTGAGGCTATATTGACACAATATATTTATATTGTCAAGACTATGTTTGATAGCTATGCTAGGATCCAATAGGTGACACTGTAGTCAAATTAACAAATTTAATATTTATGACAAAAATTACTCATAATTACAATATTATTATATTCCTTGTTCTAAAACCGTCTTGATAAAGATAGGTGGGATATATGCATATAGATTTGTAATTTTATTATAGCCTTCATTGGTTTTGAAAATAATGATAATGATTATTGACAATTACTCATTATATTATGTTTATAGAAACTCTCATTGGTTTTGAAAATAATGATTATGATTTTTATTAATACAAATTACTTATTTATATAATAATTTATTAGTGATACAACGAATACGATAAAGAATATTCGTATTCGCCGAATAGTAGACATTTACCGAATATTCGTATTCGCAGAATACTAATCACGAATATTTAAAAACTAATATTTTTGTATTTATTTTATTTGAGGCGATCTTATTTAGGCGATTTATTGAAAACGGGCCAAATTAGCAGTACCCTTAACCGACGAGCATGTATGCGTAGGTGTATGGATGTGAAGGAGGCGAGAAAGGTGTGTCAGGATCGTGCCAAATGGAAGTCTGTAGTCTCTGCCTACCCCTCTGGGTGACAGGCGTGAGTGTTTATGTCTGTATATGTAATATTTTTGTACGCAACTCTAATTACTGACAGACTTTGAAAACGCGACTCGTCGGCGCGTAAAAACTACGACGTGTGCATGCTGTATAGCCATTAGCCGCAACGACGGGGGACTCCCCGGCTCCGAGCTTCCCTATCACTATCAACCATGGTTTGATTCATTCATTTTATTTAACAGTACGACGAACGAAAGCAACGAAAGCATAGGTCAAACAAGAGAGTATAGTTTAATTTTTTTTTGTGAGGTTGCTGCGTAAACGAGATCAAAGTGACATATGAAAACACTTGGATAAATTACCGAGTAAGTGGTTATTTGGTCTGTATTTCCTTTGTATCAACAAAAAGTATATCAGTAATGGCTGCGTCTATGTAGTACTAGACTTTGCCCGAGACTTTTGAATTCCTGACTGTTATTTTTTTTTTAGAGATATTGTATTATACCGGGTGGCCCATAAGTCCCTTGAAATGTAAAAAAATAATTAAAAAAAAAACTAATGACATTATGAAAAAGGTTTTTATTTTGTCATAATCCTTATAAAATGGGAATTATTTTTTGAAAATTACATAATCTAAATGTAATCCGTTACGATCGCGGCACTCCTTTAAGCGACGTTTAAAATTATCCATCACTGCGCGGCAAGTAAGCTCTGTAATGTTTGCCATTTCTCTTTGGATATTTTCTTTCAGGACGTCAATTGTCCGCGGGTTGGTTTCGTACACTTTAGTCTTAAGATAACCCCATAAGAAAAAGTCCATTGCGGTCAGATCTGGACTACGTGGTGGCCAAGGAATATCCCCTCTTCGAGAGATCACTTTATTATGGTAAAGTTGACGGACGACCGGCATAGCGACGTTAGAGGTATGGGCAGTTGCTCCATCTTGTTGAAACCAGGTCCGCGTATTGAAGCCTGGAAAATTCTGCAACTCTGATGTAAAAAAGTCCTGGATCATAGCTACATACCGTTTTGAAGTAACAGTAAGCGCGCGGCCTCTGCCGTCCTCAAAAAAGTAAGGGCCTATAATGCCATGCGCTGACATAGCCGCCCAAACTGTCACTTTAGGGCTATGTAAGGGCTTTTGATGTTTGCGATTTGGATTTTCGCAACTCCAGTAGCGACAATTTTGCTTATTGACATGGCCGTTGATGTGAAAGTGAGCCTCATCAGAGAATAACACGTTATTAAACGAAGTAAAGCGGTTCAACATTTCATTTGCGAAATTTAGTCTGTGGATAGTGTCAGTATCTTTTAATTCCTGTACTATCTGAATCTTGTACGGGTGAAGATGTAAATCTTTCTTTAAAATTCGCTGTAACGATGTTCTGGGTAAGTTTAATGCACTGGAACGCTTACGAGTAGACTGGGTAGGATTTTCACGAATTGAGTGTTTCACTACATCGATGTTTTCTTCAGTCCGTGATGTCCTTGGTCGACCTGACCGTTGTTTATCCAACGTCGAACCACTCTCTTCGAACTTAATAACCCAGTTCTTAATCGTTTGAACACTTGGAATGTCTTTAAAGTTGCGTAAATTCTGATATTCTCCAAATTTACGCCGCGCAATGGTAGCAGAATCATTGTTTCGATAAAACTCGCGCACACAAAATGCACGGTCCGCACCGGTGAAACGCTCCATGGCGACTGAATTCCCAGAAACCGTCGGTACTCCCCCCGCACCGCGCGCGCCACTCATGCGCGCCTTTTGTATTTTATTCGAAATTTACATTTCTAACGACTTATGGGCCACCTTGTATCTTCAACTCACCTTACAGAAAAAATTCTACCGGATATTAAAGGACGTGTTAAAACAAAAATCGAAGGAGCAGTTAACTAAGACCCCATATCTCTGTCACAGCAGACATGTGGACCGGTGACGCTTCCTCACAAGTTAATGATTTTATAAGTCTTCTTGGCCATGGTGTTAATGAAGAGTTCCAGCTCAAATATTATTGTCTGAAAGTGTGTCCTTTTTAAGATAACTCACATTCAGGAGAAAATATTGCCCACAATATGCATATGATGTTTCTGGAATGGCAGCTATTGGATAAAGTTGCAGCAGTTGTAACGGACAACGCACGGAATGTAGTTA